TTTAGTGGTTAAGTGGTCTGTAAAAGTTTGAGAAACACCGGTTTAGTAGGAAACATGATGGGATGATACTGCAGGTGACGGTACGCGTTAGTACTCATAACACTAATTATGTTGATAACGAGAAAACATACAACCACCGGGCTAATTAAAAACAGTGGTGCAGCTAAAGGCAAGAAAAACACAAGCTGGTTCATGGCTCTGGATAAACAGACGTTCACAGGACATGGTTTTTTATCAGTGCTATACAAATGCAACTGGTCTTGTTTGACCTCAAGCAGGCACTTAGAAATTAGGTTAAACATGGGTTTAACCTATGAAATACAAGTTGAACTAAAAGGGAAAAACATCAGTGGAGAAAAGCCTGAATGCAGAAATATCAGTTGGAGTTGGTCTGAATCGGAACAGAAAAAGGAGCCGTGAAAATACAGAAGAAAGAAATAGAGTGGTGGCGGCAGAGAAGTCAAAACGTCTCTATTTTCCAAAGCTGGAGTCGAGGTCAAGAGGCAGGAAATGGGGAAAAAGGAGGGACGACAGATGAGGGGAAGTTGCCTTGGGGCCTTTGAAAGTCTTAAAGGATGTTAGGCGAAAAATAAGAGGAGGAAACAAGCATGAAGGGAAGCAGTGTGCTCATTGGCTTGATCTGAGCTTCTCCTCAACCAACTGGGAGAAAAGGGGAAGGAGAAGAGGGAGGAGAAAATGGAGTGAGAAGGACGGAGGGCTCCTCTGGGGCCCTCTTAGTGTGACGAGAGGACAAACAGATGGCACATTGTGTTCACATTAACATATCTTAATTTGAAGCAGCACCACAATGCATTAATTTATTGCTTATGTCTGTGTGCGGGGTACATGAAGGTAAAGCCATGACAAATTTCATCCCTGATAAACCAAAAAGCCTCTTTGTGGCTAAGATAAAGATGTTTGCCAGTGTCTTCCCTGCATATCTGTCTCTGAGGCATCCCACAGAGGTGTTTGTTTTCACCACCCACGCCAAGCTTTATTGCTGTTTGGGTGGACTTCAAATTTCCAACAAATAAAGTTAAACAACACTTCTTCCCCTGTTGTGGCTTGTGCACCTGTACTCGTACCTCTGCTTTATAACAGTGGCCGACAAAAGCAACCGCGCTGCAGCGGCCCAGAACACTTCCATTAGAGAAACGAGCTGCAAATTCAGAAACGATGCACGAAAGTACAAAACAAATACAACAACGGAAACGTGCTGCAGGAGGCAAGAACAAGAACATGAACAACAAACACGCTGCAAATACAGACAAAAACACACAAACCCCAAATGCAACAGAAAAATCGCTGCAGATCCAGACAACACCACATCAGAGCTCCAGGCCTCTAGGGGGAGCTCTAAGTGGAGATCCCATAGACTGTAGATAAGCTAACGCTAACACTTGCTACTTAGAGCTTAGAGCTCCCCCTAGAGGCCTGATGCGCTTCCCTTTAGCTGTCTGGAAACGCAGCGTTTCTTCTGTTGCATTTGTTTTGGCAGTTTGTATGTTTTTGTTTTTGCATTCTTGACGACTTCATCGACAATTAATTCTGCAATGTTTTCATGTTTAATTAGAATTTGTAAGCCTTTCTATTACTGACTCATTTGCCACAATATTGCGTCTAACTATATCTAGTTTTTGAAAACCTTTTTTTTAGGGATTTTTTTTTTTTTCTGGAAAAATTTCCACCACCAACAATAACAGTTTATTTGAACCAGACGATGTATGAAAAAGTGTGTTGGTATCAGCATCTCTGAATTTACATGCAGAAGGACCAAAGTAGCGATTGCTCGGTACCAAACATAGAAACAAACGAACCTTGCAAGTCGCCACTTCAAATCCCTTCACTCGTACCTAAGTTGGCAGTAAAACCATTTCTCAAAAATCACCCATCTCATCTTTATGTCTTTCTTCTTTCCAACTCAACCTTCTCCCAGAACCACTGCCTCTGTTTGTCTGATGCTGAGCCATTTTTTTTTTTTTTTTTTGGGTTTTTCCCCTCACTTCCTTAGTTTCACATCTCTTGCCAAGCTGCTGCTCAACTGACTCTGAGGTACCACTCCACTGCTGTAAGGAAATTTTGGGGTCGTTTTCTAATCTATGCACAGCATCTGACTGAAACCCAAGCTTGATGCATAATGAATAACAAGAAATAAATGATGAAAAAGTTGCCGACACCTGGGCACCATCTGTGTCAAGAAAGTTCTATGTTTGATTCCTCCCTCTTTTTCTCTCCCTTCACACCCACCCTACTTTTTTTATTTTTATTTTTTTTATGTGTTTCATGGTAAGAAACACCTTTTCAATGAAAGCTGCTGTCGCCACTGAAAATGTTTGTTGAAGCTGAGCTGCAACCTCAGAGATTTCCCCAAACCATTTTGCCTTTTTTTTTTTTTTGGCTTTAGACGTAAGTAGACGTTTTTTTTAAAGCGAGTTAACTGTTAGAGAGAGTTGGAGTTAAAGGGGCTGGCTGGGTTGAGCCGTGGACAGGGAGGGGGAGAAGAACACAGTCATATACTCCATCATCTTCTTTCCTTCTCAGTCCCTTTCATTGACTTTACAGATAAAGGCGCCGGCTCTGCCCTGAGAATAGATGAAAGCTGTCTACAATACAAATTCCTGTGAACACATTATCTTTGCCTAATTTCATTGTTTTATTTGATTGGAAAAGAGCAACTTTATTCACAGAACTCTCCTTCTGTGCAGATGCAGTTTATTTCAAATAGATCATCATTAAACCTTTTTTCTTTTTCAGTCGTACCACACAGCTGATCCATGTTGATCTCTTTGCTATTTCTCTGCTTTTATCCCAAATGTTTTACCTCTGTGCCTCTTAAAACAGCGTAGTATCTTAAATATTTTAGTGAAAGATTTTTGTCTTAAACTGAATTCATTGTGAGGCTGCCATCGGGTGATATCTGAATAGATTGGTTTCTTCCTCACAAAAGTCTGAACTTGAATGTCTGTACCTCAGGTGTTAAACTTATTTTTTTTCCTCCTGGGCAAAGTTTGTAAGGAAATCAGAACTAGAAGAAAATGCAGTGATGTTTTAGAAGCTGAAACGTACGGTTTATTGCGTCTGTGTGGATTCTATTCAGCAGTTTTTCTCAGAGCTGTGAAGCTGTAGCTTCAAATTTTGATGTTGGGTTCGGAGTGATTTGGTTTTCTGCTATATACACTCCAACGAACATGGACAGTAATGCACATGATATTTTTAATGTTTGTGTGTGTACAATCTTTTATAGAGTTTATGATTTAACTTCAACGTGGACCTGAAAATCAGGGGAGCTCTTTAGGTCCTGGGGAAATATCGCCATCTATAGGTCGCCCAACTACTAGTGGAGCTTGGCGCAAAATGTGATGGTTTCATTTTCAGCCTCTTAAGTTTGGGCTAAACCCAGAATCTTTACAATGTCTGGCTCCGCCTCTGAATCTCATCATCATGGAGTCGGTCTGGGAGACCCTAAATCCACAGAAGAACTGTGGCAAATTCTCTAAGATGCTTGGAACAAGCACATTTGTTTTAGTTTTTTTCTGTCTACTGCACTTTTAAGATAAATAAAAACTTATATATACAGTATATATAAACAGCATTCAGCAGTGAATTTATGGAGATTGGCAACAGTCTTAATCTTTTTAGACAAACACAACTGTTACAACAGTCAAAACAGTTTCAGATTCAGGATTCATATGTAGATTTTCTGCCACTGTTATAGTTATGGTTGTTTAAGTTTGGGCGACTAAAACTACTTGCTTGAAATTCAGGAAAGTTGGTGGGAGACAAGATGGGAACAATGGTGTCAAAATAGGATGGTTTTTGCATCTTTGCATCTGTTTCCTCTAGTAAAGCCACCAATAACAAACATAAAGGTCTAATGTTTCCTGAAGGTCCTACACGGGACGCACCGTACTCGACTCGAAATCTAATCAACTTTGAAGAAAAACTGTTTTTGCTACTGTAATTGAAATGTTCGTTTCCTGCTGGTGAAAAGATGTTTTTTCTACATCATCTGATTGTTGGTGCTCAGATAGCAGGAAAAAATTTTGCTCCTGTGTCGTTTCTGTTGGTGTGGTTGCCATGGTTACATTAAATCACAAGTGTTAATGTCATTATGTAGGTCTGTACTTTTAGTTTGAATACCTTTCTTCTGGACTGTTTCTACAGAGCTGCTGCTGTGTGTGTGTGTGTCAGTGTGTGTGTGTGTGTGTGTGTGTGTGTGTGTGTGTATGTGTGTGTGAAACGACCATAAGCTGTTATCGTCATGCGGCTGTTTACTGTGATAATTATGAACCCATCAGTCAAATGCTCCCATTTCATTATCTATAACGACTCACCTTCAGATTGTCCACTGTCGACTCGTTGAAACAGCCTATGGGAGCGAACGCGGCTTCCTGTATTGATTGTCACTGATGCCGTTGAAGGTACAATCATTAACCCTGTCAGAGTGAAAGATTGCGACGCCGTTCAGGCTTGAAGGAAGCCAACATACGCGGCGCATCAGACACCACATTGCTCACCTTCCAAATGGCCTGCGCTTTGTGTCGATGGTAGGAATCACGGGTCGTCACTTGTCACCGGATGACCTGCTTGAAGGATGACGACGACTACCTCATTGCTCATACCTTCTGCCCCGTCTACGCCGCAGTGCCCTTCCGATGGAGCGCGTTTTCCAAGCAGAATGGTTGTCATTTCGGTTTTGCCCAGGAAAACGATGCTTGCTCTGTAATGGCACATTGCAGCTAGGTCACCAGCAGCCAAATGGAATATTGAAAAATGGAAGTGATTGCGTGTTTGGTGTCATGCTGTCAGGTGACTCGCTGCTTTCGGGGAAATATTAGACTCTGACGCGCCAGGTAGATGGATGACATTTCTGTGTCTGGACAAGGAATGATGCCGGGGTGGAAACATCATGTCCGACCCATTTGTATTTAGAGGAGCAGTTGAAATGAAATGCACGATGAGATATTCTACATACATATGTTTTATGTCTCTTCTTGCAGACAGCAGTCTCCTCAAGACTATTGATGGTTCCCATTTGGACTGTGTGGTCAAAAGACATCCTGCGCTGGTTTCCATGATGCACCTCCTCCCAGAGAACGTCCTCGTCTCTGGAGATGAGAACATCCCCGGGCTTGCAGCTTCTCCGACAGGTAAACTTCACATCACGAAGAATGAACAACACATTATTATATCACAAATGATAAATGATCTGGATAAGACAAAACTTCTCAACAACAGGAAAATGTGTTAGTCGGTTCTGACATCAGGTCGATAAAATAACGAATGAATTCAAAATGTCTTCCTTCTGATTAGTTGGTGGCCCTGTTATTCTCATTAAGGTTATTTAAACACATATGAGAAATAATGATAGAAAACTGGCCAGAATTACTGCGCAAAAATGGAGAGTAATGGCGAGTAAATGGTAAAAGTGTGTTGAGCCGTGAGTGAAAAATAAATGTTTTATAATCCACATGAGCCAGGTCTCTCCTGTAATGTTCACTCACCTCCAGCTCTTTCTGCAGACCTTACAGGCCTTATTGCCCATGTTCCACATTTTCCCTCCATTTCTTTGCCTTTTTTGGCTCAAATTGCAGCATGAACGCACAAGAAACAACACGTTTTAGGGCATTTTACTTTCTGTTAGCGTGTAGCCTGCTGCCCTTTCACTTGTTCCTTCAGTGTGTGCTGCAAGATCGAACAATCTTCCTGTGTTTTACTTTGACATATGTGAGGTGTCTGTTCCCGTCCTGACTCTGTGTTTACTGCACAACAACAACAACAACAACAACAACATCTGACAAGGTGGAAAATGATATGATGGTACTTCCACCATTCCTTTCCTCCGATCCAATCTGATCTGATGGCAACCTTTAAACAAAGGAACTGAATTACTTCATGTGAAACAACAAAATAAAAAATGATTAAAACTCAAGACATTAAGGAGCTATTTGTACATTTTTTCTATTGCTACATAGCTAACGTTAGCATTAACAGCTGTTTTCTTACCAGTCTAGAGGAAACGTTCCAGCTCAGCATCAAACTTCATTCCTTTACTCACCAACATCTGTCTCCAGAGGTGGAGAGACGCACCACTGTTAATTCTTGTCTCCATCATGTCGTTTCTTCTTCGACTCACTGTAGCCTCCAGTCGGACCCGAGGATGTGTCATAACCTCTCATCTTGTAAACACGACGACGGAGGAACCGAAGCTAAATAGTTTATGATAGAAAAAGAACTTGAAAAATTGAAGGACAATTGAAATGGTGGCAAAACGGATAGATAAATAATACTTCATACAACTGGAAATAAAAAATATAAAAGATATAAGACAAATACTTTTTTTTATCTGAAACCAAATAAAATGAATAATATATGACAAGTCTGGGCATCAAAAGGACTACAAACATATTCACAAATATTTAATAAGACTTGGAGGCCACATCAACTAAATTAGTCACAGCTGTGTCAAATTTCTATAAATATTTACAAATCAGAAACTTTTTATTAAAAAAGAGGACGCAACCAAGAACTCCCCCTAACAATATTCATGATGAACAATTATAGAGTTTTCGTTGGAAATATAGACAAGATTCTTTATTACACATATTCAAAATGTACATTATGAATTAAATCAGACTGTGGAGGAGAATCACCCCCGTTTACTTTTACTGTCCAATAGCAATTCATTGCAATCTCTTTTATGAGCTCACGTTAGAAACAGACAGACACCTTAACCGGATACTGAACCAATGAGAAGGAACCTGCTCCACCTTGATCCAGAAACTGGAAGTCAAAAGTAAAATAAAGTAAAAAAAAAACAAACAAAAAAATAAACAAATAAATATATATGTATTAATATTAATATGTTTTAATGTGTGTTTCTTTTAACCTCTGTATGTGTGCATATATATATTCCTACAAGTATGTGCATGCACATGTATTTTAGTACGTGTATGTGTGTATGCTGCAAAAGTCATTGTACACATATAAATGTATGTATGTGTGTATAATTAAATTCAATTAACTAATTGCTTTAATTGAAAATTTACACTTCTTTGTCGATTTTCTTTCTGTTTAACAGTAAGAAATACAAATATTATTGTAAGAAAACTATATGTAAGCAAATGTATTTTCATGTTTTATGTCTCCATCTGTCAAAATAACAAACCAGACAATCAACACTTAATATTTAATATTGGCCTTTTTTTGAAACTTAGTTCCATCAGAAGTTGAAAAGTCTGCAGTACTTAGAAAGTAAGTTTCTAAGGGGAAATGTAATGAAGTCTGACAGTGCAGAGCTATAATCATTGGGAGTCAGTGGGAGGTATGGTAGCAGGCTAATCCTCTTCATGTTCTGGGGCTGTGAGCAGCGGAGACCTAAGCTGCCTTTTAAGACCACAGCCACCGGCTTGATATTCACGCTGCATTCAGAACAGCCCCAGTCTGCGCTCCAGAGACAAGGGCTGCAATGAAACGCTTGATGGCTACATTACTCTTGACGAGATTACAATCACACTGGCTATTTTCTCTTTGCTGCGTCTGAAAGGGGCGATTGTGGACTTCACAGGCTTTCCCACTTCATCCATTGGCTGAGATGCTTTCTTCAGTCGATTCTGATTTAATTTACGCCGGGTATCCAAATGGAAACAGTTTTTGTTGTTTGACACGAGCACTGGTATCTCTCTCTGTGGAATAAATATTCCAGTGATTGGCATTAGGCTGCGCACCACAAATCAATGGCGCAGTTATTTAGATGGAGCTGCTGTCTCTCAGAAAAGTTCTAATCAAATATATTCATAATCAAAGTGCTGCCAAAAAAAAGGGGTGTGTTTGTTTCATCATCCAGCTGGATAGAAATCTCCACGAAGGGAGTCAGAAATATGACAATGAATGATGCTTCATAGAATATATTATTTCGTGTGGTTTTGATACGTAGCAGTTTACAGCGTTAAAGTGTTTGTTTGTTTGTTTGTTTGTTTACATCCTCCCTGCCACTCATTCACATCCCATATTCTTTCACTCTCCACTACCTGACGCTTTGTTAAGATAGCAGCTCAAACATGAACCCCCTGAACCAGCAGCCGACAGACTCACACAGTCAACTGCTACTCTGTGCAAAATAAAAACAAAACTGAAGTCAAGGTTGAGGGATCAACATAAATTCTACGGGCATGCAACATTCGAAGCGGAGCGTCTCTGGAGTCCAGGGTGAGGCAGATAGATTAATAAGTAAAACTGCCATGAAACAGCAAGTGTTTGTGGAAACTAACCCTTTGGCTCTTAACCGGGGAGAGTTCAGCTCACTTTGTAAGATAACACACACACATAAGGAATCAGCAGCACGGCTATAACACAGCATCAAACCATGTGTTTTCCACACGACTGCTTTCTTTTAGCTTTCTAGAACTTCTGGGATGCAATTATACAGTTTTCTGCGGATGACGGGCGATGTTAGGCAAATGGGTCGCAAATAGGAATAAAGTTGTTTCACATATTTATTATGGTAGATGGTGGTTTTTAGTTGGGTTTTTTTTTTTCTTTTACTGAGCTGAAAACAGAATGAACAAACCAGAGGAAACTGGAAGCGCTCTAACTCTAATATTAGTGTGTAAATGTCATGACATGCTGATAGTTTGATGCTGTGTTTGTGCCGTCATCAGGAGATGCTCTGCTGAGGCCTCAGCTGCTCAAGATGCTGCCCTTCACCCTGAACAGACTGACCGTCTCCCTCCAGCCGTCCCTGGAGAAGTTCGAGAGTCAGCTGCTGGCGCTGATCAATGCTGACTGCCATAACACAGTAAGACCTGGCTTACACTTATACTTTATTTTACTTTATTTTTTTTCTACCGAGAAGTCAACTACAGATACAGGGTGAGGGGAAAATCTGAATCAGAATCAGAACCTGGTTTATTACCAAGTAGGTTTTCAACTTCTGAGGATCTTTTGGTGCATGACAATAAATATAATATGGAGAAAAGAAATATAAACATAGATGAAACAACAAGTTCTGCAGGTCAAATAACTTAAATATCTAAGCTATTTTTACTTTTGACTTCCAGTTTCTGAATTAAGGTGGAGCAGGTTCCTTGTCATCTCATACCGACATATGCTTGAATATGTTTTTGTTTGTTCAGGTTCTTGATAAGTTTGAAATATTTTCATAATAGAGATTGCAATCAATTGCTATTGGACAGTAAAAGTAGAAAAAATTAACAATAAGATAAAGTATATACAACAAAAATGTTAAGAAATGTTATAGAAAATCTAAATATGAAAAATACAAATATGTCCGCTGTGCAAAATGAATTGAAATATACACACTTATAAAGCAAATATGCCTTTTTCTCATCCCACATCCTTTTAAATGAACAATATATAGTGTTCTTCCAGGGGCAAAACATATCACCTTATAGTTTTCTGATATAAAGGTATCTACACAATCCCGATAACATTTCATCCTCGTGAGGTAACAGGTCACTACGCTCCTTAAATTAAAGATGGCCGCGATGGCCTTGACACACCTCTGCTAAGATTATTTTCCCCAGCCTGATGCTTTCCTTTATCTTACTTTCCGTTTCTTCAGTGTGCAAGCACAGGCCCTTTTTACAGCTGCCACTGCAATTTAAAACACATCACATCCCAAACTAAATGGAGCTTATCTGTTCTCTTTCCTCTCCCTTGTCCACGGAAACCCACACGGTTAACTGTATTTGACAGGTGCAGCTATGGACGAGCAATTATTTGTACAGTGACTTTTGCGCAGGCCCTATCTGTTCACTTCAGCCTAAGTGAGATATGTCTTTAGTGGGGATGATAATTGATATGACAATGCTGTCACTCCGTATCTCTCTCCCATTGCGCTTTGATACCGCTGGGCTGGATCCTCACACTCAAACACAGGGGGCCGAGTGTTTAGAGCTGAAGTGGAACAAATGGTAGTCACTAGTGTCTCTACCTTGTGAATAGATGGTAAGTCGACCACCTGCCAAACATTTGTTTTTTTTAGAGCTGCAGGTGGCTCGGGGCTCAGACGCTTATTTTGATGGATAAGTGAAGAATCTGCACAGAAAAGCCTCATTATGTCATTAAAAGTTTCCACGGTAAAAAAAACCCCCAAAGGTTTCACTATTTTCAGTCATTTTCAGAACCGTGTGGAAAGTCAAACTAATATGAATAATGATTTGGTATTTTTCACTTTTTTTTCTTTTTTTTTTTTGCAGTTACTTTGTTCTTGTAAAATATGATCTTGAGAAAAGCGTTATATCGAAAACATTTAATTATCCTGAAAAAAAAGATTACCGCTTTTTAGGATTCAAAGCGTCTGTTTTTAAAACAGGAATAACACAGAAAATTATCATCTGACAACATAAAAAATATATGAATATAAGAAAATATAAAAATAGATTTAATACAAGTGGAAAAGAAAAGAAGAAGCAACAAAGCAAAAATATAACTGTAAGTGATTAAAACAAATAGCAACATGTGGAAGCAGGTGATGAGAAGAAGCCACAGTCATTGTGACCACATCATACAAAGGTACAAACCCCACCTCCAGCACCACTCTCAGGACAATGACCATTGACAGTCTGAGCCCTTCAGAATAAAAGTCTTAGTTATGCCTGTCTCTGTTCTCTCATGTACTAGGCCACAAAATCTCTGTATTATGTTGTTGGAAATTAGCTCTTGGTCATTGATTAACTATTCTAATCAGATATTCTAATTAGCTGCAGCTGTGTGCTCTAGTTTGAAATGAAATGAATGAAATAGGAATTAAAAAAGCGGATAGCAGAATGAAAAGAGTAGAATTGAGAAAAGAGGACAAAGTAAAGGTGCTTAGGTCAGTGGGCAGGTTGGTCCGGCAGATTCATTTCCCTTTAGAATAATATTAAGTGAATAATATTAAGTGTGTAATGTACGGTGGCTCCGCCTTGGGGCAGCCTCAGGCCCTGGTGGGAGGGCGCTGTCCTTTCATGGGTCTGACTTCTCTTCCTTTTCAGAAGTGCTCCCGGACTCACGGGAGGGAGCCGGTTCTTTGGGGACTCGCAGGCCTATTTAAGATTAGTTATATTTAAAGGGAGGCTGTCGGAGAATCAGCCCTCCCTGACTTCTCATGCAGCAGCAGCGGAACAATGTCTGGAGGTTCCCAGTGTACATTATATGACCAGAAAAAAGGAGCGTTGGGGTGGGGTGGGGGTGAATGAATGCATTATTAATGAATGGACACACAAGAAAAATCGTAATTTAATAAAGAGATTGGTATTAAATGTGCTGAGGCACATTTTGAACTCCCTAAAGGCTAAACCCCGCTGCCAGCCCCACCCTCAGGTTATGTCATATTATATCTGCGATTAGAAATAGTATTAGTTTCTTGTGTGAAGCAGATATAATGCACAGCTCTATGTTTGTATTTTTTTGGCTTCTGGGCCGTAAAAGAAGAAATTTAGGGACATGGACAAAGATTCAGGGTCATAGTTATTTTTTAAAGAAAGAACATTAGTGCATCTCATTTTAAACATCAAACATACAGCCTGCATAAGACACAGGGACAAACTTAACGAGGACATTAGTTAAGAATTTTGAACAGATGTACTTTTAAAATGCTTTTTAAATAATTCAGAACAGGATTTGAATTCATTTCTGTTTTAAAGCGCCATGTATTCTTCTTCTCCTGTGTTTTATTTTGAAGTGTTGCTCCATAAGAAGATATATTTGTGGTTTTAAGAACCAAAAACCATCTCAGTGTAGCGGGGCTTGGGTGACTGCTTTGTTGTGACATCACAAAGTTCCAGAAGTCCTGACGGCTGGTTTTAAGGCTCAGTTTCTGAATACAGGCTGTGTGCATTTCTCTGTGGACTGAGGCTTTGATTCTTTCACAGTATTAATATAGAAGCTAGACCTGATCTATAATCAAACTACACATGGACAGAGACCTTTACACTGGATATTAGATTGTAGAACAGCAGCAGCAATATATATAACAGTGATAAACAATATAAACTCAGTGATGTCTCCCTGGAAACAAATGTAAAATCTACAATAGAATAAATGAAATGACTGACTGAGTTTCCAGTGGACATGCATGTGTGTGATATTTGAATTGACTGGACATTAACTTGTAGTGTCATTGTTTTATAGTAACACCTGTGCTGATGTACAGACAACACGTCCCTTTATCCAATGAAATACGATGGAGTAAACTACACCTCTGTCTTCTCTTTCCACTGTGAGCTAAGTGACATGTTAGCATGAATAATTCTCTCATTGTGGTGTTCACAGTTTTTTTTAATTTTTTTTTCTCATTTGTGAAATGTTCTTTGAAGCTCTTCACAACCCGTCTAACAGTCCAAGTTGTGTAGATTAGTTAAATGTTCCAGACTTTTATAACTTCAGTGGGATGACGACATTCTCACGTCTGTGAGGTGTTAATATATGCAGAAGTCAGCTTGATTGCAGCTTTTAATTAAAGTGTGTTAGTGTGTATGTGTGTGTGTGTGTGTGTGTGCGTGTGTGCGTGTGTGTGCGTGTGCGTGTGAGTGAGATAGAGACAGACAGAGAAAGAAAAAGAGTGTGTGTGACCTTTAAAAGTGTGACTCCAGCTGGATTGTCATCAACCTGTCTCTGAAGTGATGCTGACACCTCATCCGCCAACTCAGTTTCACCATTGTGCGAATGTGTGTGTGTGTGTGTGTGTGTGTGTGTGTGTGTGTGTGTGTGTGTGTGTGTGTGTGTGTGTGTGTGTGTGTCTGTGACTCCATGCTAGTGTGTCTGTTCTTAAATTGGCATTGAGGCAGAAGTGGAGTGACAGAAATGAGGAGGAACGGGGTGGCGGATGAATGTACAGTGCAGCATGAGACGAATCCTTTACGCCGGCTTCCAGTCTGACGTACAGTCTCCACATAATCTCCCCTTAAGTATTTCTATTTTTAGTCCCACAAACTATCACAGAATGTGGCTTCTTTTTAAAGTCCACTTTCCCACATATTATACAGCCGCTGCCCTAGTTGATGTGCTTTTCATGTGAACTACTGTAGGAGCTATGGAGTGCTACCTCTCGTAGCCTCGTAGTGCCATTTAACAAGCACTAGGATAATTTCAAGTGTAGGCTTTAACCTCTCGAGACGCACTCTGACCTGCAGTTTAAGAATCCAACACTATTCATCTGCAGGAATGCTTGAACATGTCCGCCTTCCCCTACGTCTGAGGGAAGCCACAGGCTACATCACCTCGAATGACCCAAAGCCGCCGTTCACCTACATCTCCAATAAAATCTATTCCTCTTGATAAAAGGGCCGAGCTCTTGTCAGAAATTATGTAACATCTCGGCATGTGATCAAACGACCGAGAACAGAAGATGATGAAGAGAAGGAGAGGAGCAGGCGAGGACCAATGCCACGCCGCAGGCAGAACAAAACGCCTCAGGCTGATTTAATGAATGGAGAAAGACTGTGGCAACAAAGCTCCAGGAAGTTTTCATTTGTCCTAAAAGAAGAAAACTGGGACTGCCCCTGTGGACGTGCTACTATAAAAAAAAAAAAAAACAAAGGAGGTTGAACATTTCCGAAATAGGAGGCGTCTTGCACGCCGTCCTCCGAGGACACCGAGTTTGGCTGCACCTTCAAATGTGCCGGCTGAGTTCCTTCTCCGTAACATAATTAGGCCTGTAACCACTGTAACTGCTGCAGTGCAAAGGAACAGGGTTTAATGCACTTGGCTGGCATCAAATATTCATGAGATGCAGGTCTTCGTAATGACAGACGATTCAACGGTGAGATGAAATAGACTGCGACTGGTTATAGA